TTCACATAGGTTAGTTATCAACTCCTTCAGTGGGATTGAAGAGACGCGGCTAACGATGGTCAATCCACGTCGAAGTAAATTAAAATCTTTCTTAAGGAGGTTGGGGAAAATAACAGGTGAGCAATAAAGTAAAACGGGGAAAACACACTGGTACTCGAATTTGGAAATACCTGATTGTTGAGTACGAAACTGACGAATTTTACGCATGTGAAAAGAAAGTCGTCGAAGCTTACTGATGATGTGTTGAATGTGAGAGGTCCAGTGAAGATCGGTATCAATAAAAACGCCCAAGTATTTAATACAGTTTACCCGGAATACTGGTTTGGAGCCAATTGAGACCGGTTCAGAGGGGAAAGAAGAGCGTGATTATGTAAAAAGACATTCGAAACATTTGGAGGGATTAAGAGATAGGCCAAATGTGGTGCAAAACCGTTGGACGTTATCCAAGTTGTCAGAAAATTGTGAAAGACCAGAAGAGTCAGAGATGGTCTGACACGAGACCACATCGTCAGCATATCTGAAGAGAGAATTAGGGNTAGGGGCGCAAGCAGACATTTCACTAATATATGTAGAAAATAAGTATGGGGGAGTACTTGGAGTACTCCAGAACTGTTCAACAACGGTTCGGATTTCCTTCGACCTAACCTGATACACTGAGTTCTCCCAGCGAAGTAATCGGCAAGCCAAGCTAATAGCTGTCTAGGATAACCAAAGTTCTCCAGTTTATGAAAAAGAAGGGAACGAGGAATAAAATGAAATACAGATGAGTAGTCCAAAAATACGCAACGAACAGGTTTTGCGGAATTGTTCAAGGATTTGGTAATTTTATGTAAAAGTGAGGAAACTGCAAGCAGTGAGTATGTGTTTGGTTTATAGGCAAACTGAAGAGGATTATACGGGATATCAAGGGAGGACTGAATGCGCGTAGGAACAACACCTTCTGCTAGTTTCAGTTCAACAGAGGTTAGAGGACGAAAACGTGTGGCATGGTTATCTGTCGATTGGTCAAAAGGTCGAACTCTTCACTCAGTTACACACACACACACACACACACACACACACACATAATTCACTGACCTGATAGCATAAAATGCTCGGCTTGTTGCTGACCACGTGCGCAGTGTGAACACATCCGGTGAACGAGTTAGAATCAAATCTTTTAACGATCCGTCAATCAACTCCGGACTGTTTTTGATAAAATCCACCACACGATGACATAACTGTGTCAGACCATATGCTCGGACTGTGAGAAAGACAAACAAAAGTGAGCTCGTGTTGGCCGATCGTCCCGGATCCATGTCTGGAAATGTGCACTGTTCATACATGTGAATACGTTTTCGTGCGATCAGTTTCACAATCGGGGCTGCTAACAGTTTGCACAATCCGGACTGATCGATCGAGGCGATTGTGTCCAAATAGTTTAACAATGTGTACGGTAAACTGTTGTGTAAGTTGAAGGAAGGTTTTGTCCCGGTCGTGGACTGTTTATCCCATTCCACGGCAGATTTGAATGTCTCACTGGTCAATTCGGGTAGGATCAGGGTGATTAAACGTGTGGCCAGATATTCACGAGCTCGCATCAAATTTTTTTGTTCCACAGTTTTTCTGTCCTCTTCATTCTCATCGGTATCCTCGTCATCATCAGCATCAACTCTGTGAGTGAGATCTCGGTTGTGAGCATTACACGAGGTCAGTTCATCAGATTTTAGATCTTCTCGATCTATCGGATCATCGTCATTATCAGCTGCAACATCATCAACCTCATCTGCATTCTCCTCCTCGTCGTCGTCGTCGTCGTCCGTGTTTATGACCGGTTCTAAATGTGTGTTATGACCGCGATTCAGTGTGGCCGATTTATTCACCCAATGTGGGGTAATAACCACGGCTTGAGCCAGTTGCAAAATCATCACTCGATTGAAACTGGTCAACTGCTCGATCAGTCGATTTCGTGTGGTCGGACAGAGGATGAACTGGGCCAGGGCCACGAATCGATTCGGGGCGGCAAACCAATCGATCAAATGTTGCATCCATTTAGACGCATCCGACAGAAAATCCTCCAACAGTTTTGAGCTCGGCTCAACGTGATGTTCCAACAGGGACAGTAAACGTAACAGGCTGATCTCTTCCTCGTTCGGGGGAACCAAATTCACGTGATCGGTCGAAACCAGAGTGTGATCGGATCTTAATTTGGGTAAACGAACAGACTCATCCGATCGTTTATGATCTACGTAAGCAGAGAGAGAGAGACACACACAGAACAATAGAAGAGGATAATTATTTGTTTTTTCATAAAAATGAAATTGAACCAACTAGCTCTCACCTCCGTGAATCAAACTGGCGTTCCCATTCAAACCGGGATAGTATTTGTCCAAATCAATTTGTCCGAACACATTCTGACAGCGTTCGTCGATAAATGCTGTGGTACGTGCTATTAGAATGTGCAAATCTCTCGTATAGGAGACCATGAGTAAAAAGTTTCCGGATCAATTCATTACGAGACTGAAGTATAATAATAATATTAATATTCCATAGTAATGATCTTTTTACATAGATAAATTACTCGATGGTACAAGTAATCAAATATAAATCAAAAACATTGAATCATTTTTGTCTTTTGGCCAAACTTCATTAGGGTGTGTGTTTGAATTAGCCAAGCTAAATAATGACAAATATCAAAGTGTTAGTTTACTCGTCTTCTGTGTTCTGTGTAGTTGATAAAGCTGATAGATAGCAGACGACTTGACCGTATAATGTTCGAGACGTGCAGACAAATCGCTGTTGATTGCAAACTGATTCCACGTATCATCAACAAAATGCTCCGTCCTCTGCAACAGTATTATCCTAATTTACCAAATAATTACAGAACTCTTTTGCACAAACCTTGTGGTGGAACCTTGATTAGACTTGAATATGATTATTTAATCTGCCGTTGAGAGATCACTGTCGGATAGGGTGGTGCACCCCGAATCCTCGTTAAGATTTCCCGGTGACCAATGGTGGGATAAAAGTTTTTCGTAGTTCACTTTTTTACTCTGTAGACTAATGATGTTTACGAATACGTACGACGAGTAACGAATGAAGGGACGAATAAGATGAAGGCCGGTAATGTGGGAAGAACTGAGACTCCTCACCACCACCATCACCAGTCTCAACAAATACCCATAGTATCCACAACCGGAGACTTAGAAGTCATCGTTACTGCATACTTCAAGCCTGAAGTCCAGTGTCGAGGGAGCAGCACAACGGGAACCAAGAGCCTTAAACCAGCTAGAACGTGCGGTGAGGTCAAGGAAACCGAAAATCTTGCCATCTCTCTCTCCACAAGGCTTACGTGCGCTGCATCTCGAGTGGTGCGTCTCAGTTTAGAGCCCGTTCCTGATCCGGGACATGAAAACGTTAGAATCAATCCAAAGTGGCTTCACCAAGTGGTTTGTTGGTTTAAGATATCTCTTTTATGAGAGGAGCCGCGAATCCTTAAACCTATTCTCGTTGAGTAAGCGTAGGCAGCCGGGAGAATTGATTGAGGCCTAGAAAATCTTAAGAGGTTTTATGGACGTACCAGAGGGAGCGCTGCTTAAACCTAGTGAGGTAACAACTCGGAGAGGACACGTTCTAAAACTGGTTAATGAAAGAATGAGAACCCCTCTGAGAGTGTCGTCCATCGCGGTTAGAGTTATGAATGATTGGAATAGGCTGCCGGATGAAGTCATTGCTGCCAAATCGGCAGCAGATTTCAAGCGTAGGCTAGACACTGTATGGACTAAGGTACTCGAGGTAGGTGGAGACTGAGGTGGTGAACAGTTAAGACGCGGCTGAATCAAAGATCATCACTCATTTTATTATTTTTGTACTTTTTTCTCAACAGCTCCACAACCCACATCTTGCTCTCTTCTTCTACCTCCGTTCTCTCCTAGCCTTACTATCTCTTCTCCTCACTCCCTCTAGGGACTCTAGGCTTGTTTCTTACAAATAACCAGTTATCTCATTGCTCTAAATCCTTAGTCCCAATGGCTAGCTGGCCAGTCAATAAGTGTGCAAGCTGCAACACCATTCTTGATAAAACCTATTGAAATGGAGCCCTAGGAAGGGTGAGGTCTGGAAGTCTCGAAGTGACTCTCGGGTTCGAGGCTGGCACTCACTAGTCCCCGGATCCTTGATCGTTTCTTGTTTTCTGTTCGTGGAAAATGCAACTAGAAAGTCAGAAATAACTGGAAGGTAAATATATCGTCTTGCCCGGGGATTAGTGATGCTAGCTATTCTAGCAACATTATTAGTAAAGGTAACACGTAGCTATAGTAAATGTGCAAAACAATAAATACATAAAAAGCACTATAATATTTTGCTTTTGTAATTTTATTGTTTATTTTTGGAGGGAGGCTTAAGCGGAGGCAATTAGACCTAGATATTTATCAAGTCGAGAATTGAATGATGTTTTGCTTGTTGACGAGACTATCTCTTCTGGCAATGCGTTCCACTGTGTGAAATTAAACTGAACGTGAAGAACGATATGCGAATGGCGATGTGGGGCTGAGGTTTATATCACTTTTGATTATTACCCCGTGTTCCACCCGTGGGGGGTTATAGTGAAAAACTTATCTACTCGGCCCAAGGAGAACAGATGGTGTAGAATAAATAAGTCACCCTTTATTCGCCTGACTTCCGGAGGATACAGACCAAGTTACACTAGACGTTCAGGATATGGTAGGTGTTGCATTCCAACCACCACTTTTGTTGCCGCTCTCTGAACTCGTTCAAGAGCATCACGATCACGGATCAGGCCGGAATGAACAAATTGATCACCATTTTTTAGAATAGGATGGATATATGTGCCATAAACGGGTGGAAAATCTTTCTTGTTGATTTGAGTGTAAGACCTTCGAATAAGGTGAAGATCACGAAAGACAGATTCTCTGGCTAACTGGTTTTGATGTGAAAAAGAAAGACTATCATTTAACCAGAAATCTAGGACCTTGTGTAAGTTGGTGTGCTGAAGAGGTTGCGTACCACTTATATAAAAGGAGACAGACGGAGAGTTCCCAAAAGTCATGCTTACATACCTGTCATCGTTGATAGGCCAATTCCATTCAACGGACCGTTGTTTAACAGCATTCATAGATGTCTGTAGCGTGTAAGTATCTGTAACGCATATAGTGATATCATCTGCATACATAGCTACGTTTGCAGGTAATGCATGAGATAGGTCGTTAATATAAATAAGGAAGAGAAGAGGACGGAAAACAGAACCCAGGGGGACACCGGTTGTAATAGGACCAGGTTCGGATAGTGTACCGTTAATCCTCACGGTAAAAGTGCGGTTAGAGAAAAAGCTACCATTCCACACTGCTCTAGTTTGTGTATGAGTGGGACGTGTGGGACCTTATCAGCAAAATCTATGTAAATAGCGTGAGACTTTGCCTTCATCACAGGTGTTCTTTAAATTTCCATGACAGTCAACATATTGATGATGCAATAGTTGCCCGGCAGAAAAGCACCTTGGAAAGATGAAAGTAAATAATTCAGGACAGGACAGGACAGGTTACAGGACTTGCGGTAGAGTCAGAGAAAAACATAAGGCTAAATTCACTGCCAAACTCGCAGTGCATACAAGTTAATGGTAAAATTTAAGGCGGACAGAGGGAATTGGATCTGATTTAAGGGAGGAAGGTGATTAAACTTATGCCTCTTTTAGTATTGCATATATCCCGTTTCCACTCGCCGCGCATGCTTAGTCTCATAAAGGTTTCCTAATTCGGCTGTTTTCATTTTTCGTTCGTGGCAATAACCGGATCGGAGAACCACTGAAAGTTTGCTTGTGGGAGTTGATGCAAAACTCTGATGCTAAACCAACTCAGAAGAAGTGTGTGAACTACACACACACACACACACCGTGGTTAAAGCAGTGGTCACCGGCTTGATTAGGCTTAGAGGTGTATTTGCCACCTTAAACATTCGAAAGTACTCATTGGTATGACTCAAACGCAAATAGTGTGGAAACGGAGTGCGGCTGAACTGGATTCGTTGCGGGAAACAATAACACATTGATGAGAAATTTATCTTGTTCAATATATGGCCACTTGGAAAAACAATTAAAACAAATTATGTGCGTATACCATTTTCTTATGCGTCGCCAATGTTCTAGCTGACATTTCCGTGATAAAAATCAAATAGTTCAGTAGAAAAACAGCATGACAAACACCTTATTGAACCACCCAAGGCTAAATTCACTGATCGCTGCCAAACTCGAAATGCATACAAGGTTAGTGGTAAAATTTAATGTGGACAAGGATTGGATCTATTTTGAGGGAGGGAGAAGAAGATGAGCCACTATGGTCAACACACAGAGAGTACACAATCGAAATCTGCATACACACCGTTTCAAGCATTCTGTCACCTGATAAGAAACGACAACAAGAACGCCACTGCTGTCGGTTTGCTGCCATATCCTTTAGTACCTCCAACCAACCAGTTGTGGAGACTTTTGGACCCCAACCTGGAAGGCGGGTGACACCCACTCTACCTAATGGCTCTATGCATTTCTTCATGCCTCGTCTCCACGCTACCTGTTGACGTCCATGTAGTTTCCTCCAGCTCGGATTAGCTTGGTGCGGCAGACGATGGCTGGGCATGCGCAATACGTGCCCAACATGTGTTAAACTGCGTAAACACCGATAATCGAAAACTTCTAGTCGACGGATATCTTCTACTCGCAAATTCAAGGTCTCAAGCCATAAAGCAGGACTGAACGAACGCTAGCACAATATACACGACCTTTCAACTTCAATGAAACGTCGCGTCAAAACTACATACACGAACTTTCAATTTCAGTGAAACGTCGCGTCTACGCCAAAGGTGTTTCAGTCCTGCGCATGCTGCTTCAGCCTTGTAAATGCGGCGGCTATCTCTTTTTCTGCTCTACCGTCATTGGTCATGCAACTACTTAAGTAGGAAAAATAATCTATCACAACTAATTCTTGACCATTTAATTTCAGAGTGGAAGTAGGGGAACTTCAGTCATGCAGTATTTGTTTGCAACTTGAAGGTGCAAAGTGCATACCGACAATTGTGTTATTTCGTTCACGTCCACGCGAGTGAGTGCGGTTCTGGGAAAGGAAAACGCACTTCTGATGGTTCGCAGTGATGGGTAAACACTTTATTACCGGAAGAAATTTGGACGCTCAATGGGCCGTGGCAATAATTAGTTCAGTGCATCCTGACCTGATTTGACTTAACATAACCTGGTTTCTCGGAGTGACAGTATACATCTGCGGGTTTTGTCAGGTTTAAAGCAACAGCTCATAACCCTCCGCTCCGAGCTACCCAGAAATCGAGATGTGTTGTGGAGAAGAAACATGATCTAAAATTAGTGATGCTAGATGTTGAGAAATTCCAGTAAAATGCGTGATGAATAGTGGATGGAAATGCGGGTGTGGGAGCTGGAGAAATCAAAGTGAGGTATTTTAAGATG